GAGAGTAACTGGGAAATTAAATGTATGTATGTCAGTAACTAGCCAGCTACATGCAGAACAGGTAAAGCTATCCCTGCAACAGGCCGTGGAGGCCCATAAGGTTGTGAGACGTCGAGGCTCCCACATTTTCTAGAGAATCGACCCACAGATGGCGGTGACTTTGTCAGCCTTAGCGCCGACCGCACTTTACGCCCAGGAAGATTCCTGGTACTCATTTCTGTCGGAGGCTAAAGCCATAGTGCAACTGGAAGGATTAGGTCAATCGAAAAATCCAGTGACCTCATCGGGAATCGTACCCGCTACCTTCCGGCTTGTATAGCATAACGCCTCAAACAATACGCTATGACGATGTGTAGAATATAGTCTTTGTTGGAAAGTTAGTGGTAGAGGAACTCACCACATTTTACGGGATCCAGCTTTTCATTACCGTGTTCACAACAGCCTGCCACTTGTCTCTATCCTGAGCCAGATGAATCCAGTCTACACCCTCACACCCTGTTTGTGTATGTTAAGAACTGTTATGTAGAGGAGTCTATTCAGTGTTGCTCCCTGTGGGCAGGGAGTAATCTGTCAGACGACAGGTCCACAGTCTCTTCCAAAACAGTTCCTCCACTTAATCCGATATAGAGCTTTCTCCTTCAAAAGAGAATATCATCGGATCGAAAAATAAGGAAGGGGGGGGGGGGACATGCAACGTTTAGCTGAACGCGTACATGGAGGGTCTCCGGATGCATACTACTGAGCTCCAAATCATGTAACTAATATTGTAGTGTATAGACCCGTTGCTAGGCAGTAACTCTGTAAACATCGGCCGTTTCTAGGTAACGTCCTCAACATTCACGCACTAAAAAAATACAACGGCGTTTTCTATGTGGTCCGCGCCGCGACTGTTGCGATGCAGTGACGAGGTAAATACACCTCTACAACAATAGAGGATGTTTTCTGCGGGGTCCGTGCCGAGGTGTTATCTTCAAGACAACTGATGCTACAGGAGTCCGTTGAGGGTTCAGCTGTGGAGTGTTAACCGGGGGCAACGGAAGCGGAAGAATCTCCATTTCTAAGATTCCTTACCAGGAGACGTGCAATGAAGACACGACAGAGGAATAGCCATTGTGGAAAGCTGTTACTAAGTAAAGGCTAGTGGAAATAGACTGAGAAGAGTTAGTGTTGAGTGATGTGTAGTGTGGAAATCTGCAGTAGTCTAATAATTATTTGTCCTGGGGTTTACTCAGCCTCTAACAGAAATGAGTACCAGGAATTAATTAAATAATTTCCCTGGGGAGTAAAGCGCGGCCGGAGCGTAAGGCTGACAACCTTACCGCCATCATTGAGCCGATTGTCTAGATAATGTGGGAGCCTTAACATCTCACAACCCTATGGGCCTTCACGGCCTGTTACAGGGATATCTTTACTTTTTTTAAAGTGGTCAATAAATCACTTTACCAATCAAATTGTTTTTAACTTCCCTTAGTGGGGTCCAACTGGGTCCACTCGGCACGGCGGCCATTGATTGGCCTATTGTAGCCTGCCCCGGGTGATTATGATAATGGAGAATTTAGTGGATTGAAGATTGGCAGGGGAAACCGAAGAACTAGGAGAAAACCCGCCCCAGCGCCACTTTGTCCACCACAAATCCAACTTGACGAGACCCAGGATCGAACCCGGGCCGCGGCAGTGGGAAGCCAGCGACTAACCGCTTGAACTATGGCTTGGTCTTCACCAACCCAAACTCCGTCTATAGTCACTAGTTGGCACTAGTTCAGGAGCCGGGATAGCTCAGTAGGCATAGCGACGGGCTACAGGCTGGATGGCACGAGTTCAATTCTCGTCAGGGACAGAGATTTTCTCTTCCCACAACGTCCAGACCAAAACTGGGGCCCACCCAGCCTCCTATCCAATGGGCATCGAGGAATTTTTCATCGGGGTTAATGCGGCCGGGACGTGAAATTTGCCACCTATCACCATTTAATACCACGGTTAAGAATGGTAGAGCTGTAGTTCCATTTCCTCATATGTTTTCATGGCGTTGTGCAAATTTATCTATTTATTCTACAATAGTTACTCTAGGATAAGAGTTATCTTGAAAAAAAAAGCATACAATGTAAATTGTGCAATGTAAGGCTTTCCATGCTGATCTGTATTTAAGGGGACATTATCCTATACATGCATTTCCATGGTAACTTATTGTGACAAGTAACAGCTGTGTAAACAGGTGACAGTACAACAGCTTTTGCTAGGGAACAGCTCTGTTGACACGTTTGTTTCCCATGGCAACGAGAACACGTAATAATGGAAGGGACATTTTATGTGTGGTCTATGCCAGGGCTATATAACGAGGACTAGCATTTAAAAAATCTCTGACCGTGATCCTCAAGGGAAATGGAGCCAAAACGAACCTACTGACGGTAAACTGTCAGTCAGCTCTGACCCTGACTCAGACTTCAGTTGGTTGAGTCACATGAGAGTTGTTGTGAGAAATGAGAAGCTGCTAGATGAGACCGGAGGCAGTGCGGAAACGCAAAGGATGGAGAACGTCGGCCATTGGAAGCCGCAACCAAACAATGGCTAGTGAAGACTGACAAGACTTTATGTGTGCTATAGTTACAGTGACCTTCGGAGCATGTAACTCAGCGGGACTGTCATAGTTACTCGTAATTACGATCTGTAATTGTCCAATAATTCCAGTTACCAATCCAAACCCCGTCTCTAGATACACTCAAACGCGTGAGAGAATAATTTATGTTGTGGGATATTTATTTGAATATATTATGTACATGAACTTGAGGCTTCAGAGATTAATCTAGGAAGTTTACTGTTCCTCCCCTTGGCAGTGAATCTATATGATTCCTCGTGGACAACACTGGAATTTTTCAAAGAATTTCTGATGTTCAGAATACAAACACAAGGCACGAACATGATATCTGCAGGCCACATGTTAAACTCACTAGAGGGTACTGCACAGCACTCAAGTTACGAAGCAATTGTTTCACGGGCCATTAAATTTTTATTATTATATAAATGTTTTATTTTGCATTTCACTCTTACGGCTCTAATCTGTTCTTCTTCAGGACTACAGATATTTATGTAACAAATGTTTATTTCGCATAATTATTTTGCTCTATTTAATATAATATTCTTATCAGACATCCGTTAATACTGTAATAGTTATATATTTATATTAGTAAATCAATTCTAATTCTAATTCCAAACAAAAGCATCATTGAACAAACTGACTCACTAACTGAACCTAGTCACTGAACTGTGTGTTCAGGAGTGGTCCAAAAATGAACACAATGCGCCCACTAACATAGACACAAGCTTAATTGAATGAATGAACCAGGTTTACGGCCCAAAACAGGTTATCCGTTGCGGACTTCTTTATGGGGACACCGTGTGAACAAGCCCCCACACTCCCTGCCAACACAGAAGTTTGCTTTTAATAACATAGCTCGAGACCTAATCCTAGACTTAAATTATTTAATAAAAACAGAGCCTGGTTTTACGAAGAAATGGCGTCATGAGTGCCTCCGTCAGAAGGACTAGCGAGCACTGTCTGGGAGCCTTCAGAAGAACAAAATTTTTATTTAGATTCTAAAGTAGGGTGTCTCTCACTAACATCCCCCCCCACACACACACACACACACTTCCCATTTTCACTCAAATGTTCGGGCTTCAGATTATTATAAAACAGTTCAGTATACCTTGTTCAGCTGATGCTCAAAATAAATATTTTCCTTTCATTGTAAATTCAGCTTTCAAAATTCTGGTCTGTGCTAAGCTCGAATAAATATTCGTGTCGGCCTTCAGACCCCACGCTCCATATGCCACTCTTGTTCAGATTCCAGTCTTCTTGGTGATCCACCTGCGGTACGCGGCCACTTCGGTGTACACTCCAGGGTATCTGGGCTGCGCGCAGCCGTACCCCCACGACACCACCCCCACCTGGCGCCCCGATACAACGAGGGGCCCTCCCGAGTCGCCCTGCAACCAACGGTCCTGCTTTCATTTCCCGATATATAGATATTGTGCTTACTGATCTCACCTTACCTACTGCAAGGATATTCTGAGTAGCTTCTGTAGTTCAAACAGCGTCGTTAAATAACCCGGTAGTCGGAATTCTGGTAAAATTTTCTGGTAAAATATAGAGCATTCTTAACCTGGACACTAGACGGAGGCGAATGCTGTGCATCACGTTCCAGCCGCTCTACCCCTGGTACCCGTTGGGTATGAGGCTAGATGGGTACCAGATCTGATCTGGACCCTGTGGAAAAGACAAAAATCTGTCACGTCTGCCTGGAATCGAATTCTGATTACCTGTTTACCCAGCTCGCAGTCCGGTCACTTCCCAACGCTTTACCCTCTCCTGAGCGTACCTGTACCACAAGGAAGAGCGGGTGCTGCCTGGGAACCTCTCAACACCGCCAATCTCTCTTCTCCCTCTTATTCAGGCTTCAGTGGGCTAACACTCGCACAACGCGGGTTTCACAATATCTCTATAGTGTTTCATCTAAATCGGTCATGCTCTCGAGCTGTACTCTTGAGGGGTACGGTTCGAATCTCGGGGGGGACACCTGCTATTGTGACTGAGGTGTCTCGTGAGGTTCCCCAGTCCCTCTGTGCAAATATCGGGACTGTACATCCATTTAGGATTTAGGTCACGACATCCTTCGCAGTTCAGCTTTCAGCAACCATCCTACCTCCCGGCGCTGCGTAGGCTGGGCCCTGCGCTGTACCACTGGAACGAGTGAGAAGTGTGGCGGGCTGCAGTATAAAAGGCGTGAGTCATGACGTCACGGACAGCACCCTTCAGTAGATGGATGGGCCCGCGTCGAGTGGACTTTGTTTCGAAAATGCGAACAAGTTGACAAGCGAACACGGCCTCTGCTCTTCTCCCGTAGTCAGTAAAGTGGCCCTCTGGTATCAAGTAGGCTCCCGGGGCAAAGCGGATGGAGCTGGAGTCTCCCTGCTGAGGCACACGTTACGACTTATAGAGCAAGTAGGTGTGGGCGATGCATTTGTTCGAGTCTATCATTAACCGCTACAAGGGGTGGTCCTCAGATAGGAAGATAAACCAAAATGTGATTAATGTACAGATCCGAACGGTCGAAAATTGGTGGTCCCAAGACATGCGCAGTAGACCAGATTATGCTGAATAACCAAGCGTGAATAGTAAAAAATGTGTGGTTCTGCCGGTTTAGATTGGGTGTCAAAATTGTCCTGCTGCGACGTGAAAGAAAGGACGTGAACTTGACCAAGTTCTCCGATTTGATGAACGGTGATTGTAGCATAAATGAGGGATATGAGAAGATGGTACATTAGTACAAATATTATGTTTATGGACGTTATCTAACCTCCTGTATTTATCTAAACCGCTGTCCTATATTGAAATATAAACAGGACGATGGTCAATGTCCAGAAACATATTTACACTAACTTTCATCAACTGACTCAGAATAAGGCCCAGAGCTGAACTCAGTTATGAACTTTCGGTTTCCATATACGACAGTGAATTGCATAATCAGCTGCACTACTATCAGTTTTTAAAGGAGGGTTATGCTGCATGGAGTTAGTTAAATGAAGTCCTTCCCATGCAGGCACGACGTTTATTTTGCTCCGTGTCTTTCGGTTTATTTAAAGACGCCGTTTCAACTGCTTATTTCTTAACAAGTGAGACGCTACAGGACGCTGTCTGACCTGACACGAGTCTTTGCCGCCTGTCTCGGGGTGTCCGGCGCATATCTGATGATCGGGCAGGTCATCGTAGAGCCCGCGACACCGGTCCTTGCTCACAATAGGCAGCTCCACTTTCTGCAGTATCCGCGACGCACCGCCACCTTCCTGCGCACATGTGAACAAAAGAGGGGAGACAAGGGGCGAATGTGAATACAGGTATAGAAAAGTTGTCCCTGCGCTTAATTAACTGCCAAATCATGAAGGTGTGTGTGGCATGGAGGCACACATCAACCCTTCATAAATTCCGTACTAGGTGGAGGGTGATCAATTTCAAGTCCCAAGTGCCTCACCTCGTGAAGAGCCCCAGATTACCCATTGGGTGGAAGGCTGGGTGGGCCCCATAGCCGGTCTGGACGCTGTGGAATAGAGAGAAATGTCTTATCCCTGTCGGGAATGAAACCCACATTTCTAGTAAATAACCTAGTCACTATAGTGACTGAGCTATTCCGGCTACACAGAAAATCATATACTGAAACTAGTCTGAACGCTTGTGAGGAAGGCATGTAACGAACGGGCACATAAACGTAGTATCATGCAACGTTAAGTTTTGGTTAGAGAGAAAGGAAGCTTCGAAGACGGCTCCGCTTCCAGCTTCAGGTAGAATTATATAACGTGTTCTATTGGTCCATCCACGGATCTGAGTTCGATAATAGCTAAATCTAACGGACTCAGCAGATGGTGTTTCATGCTTTTACCTGATGCTGAAAGCAGCGCCAGCTTTCAAAACACGGTGTTATATAACTAGACACGAGACATTGCAAAATGTCCCGTGCATGAGTCAGTTACATAATTTATCATGTCGAACAAGAGCTGCACACTGACTACAACAAACAGCCACTACTTGAAAAAACATAAATTAAGTCTATACTGTGTAACATAACGGAAAGTAGAACATGCGGACCAACATCGGTCTTCAGACCACTTGTTGATAAAAAATTATGTGTAACAGATATTGTCCAACTCATTAAAGAACAATACGCAATTAGACGTCCTTTGCAAAATATATATAAACTCAAGGCACGTACGCGATAATGTATCCGTCCGCATGTTTCAACCCGATGACATTTAGAGGTATTTTCACAAAACTGGGTATGAACGTTCTACCATAGAAGACGTCTCCAGATTAATAACCTTGAATTCTGTGTGACTGACAGTACCATATTGGTGGGTGCAGGAGCTTATGTGTTAGGAGCGACACTAGAGAATTTCCGAAATCCAGGAAATATAGTGCCGAATTGTAGAAATATTAACGATGGTGGCCAAACTTGTACTTCGCAGCCTATTGTTCTGTCTGCCTGAAGCATCTTTACAGCTACGTCACGCCCTGCCCTGAGTACGCCAACCGTACGGAAGTTCTGACTGCGTCTCGCACGGGATCTCCGAGGTGCGACTGCAGTTCCCCTCGTGTCTTGAGAATAGGATCTGGTAAGTGTCCATTGATGACGTAACAATCCACGTCATTGTTTGAGGAAGACGCAGCCCCGAAGACATTTTCCACAAAATGTAATCGTGTTCACCCAACTAGAAGTATTCAGAATGTCCAGGTGCCAAGAACGCCTGTGGAAACTTTGTGTACTAGCTTCACAGCCTTATGTCTGTTCACGTGGAGACTGCGCAGGGAACCCGAAGACAAGGCCCGTCTTTGGGCAGTCCGGCTTCAAACAGAGGCTTAGTTAAAAGGGACACACCGGCGGTGTGAGGAGTAACCAGGAAATTCTGTGCTTACTTGTGTGGCTCCCCAGCCCGTGACGACGGCCATAGCCCCCGGCGCCGTCTTCTGCCCCTGCGTCGGCAGTGTCACGGCCCTCTGCGTAGTGCCCAGCACCAGCGGTGGGAATATCTGGAAGCCAAGACAACAAGCACTGCATTGCAACAGACAGGTCTGAATACCCTGCAGACGAGAGTTGTGACAACTTCCGCCTGGACGGCCGAACGGTTTTGCGGAAAGCTCTCGCACAATCGCACTCTCCTATTCACAGCAAGGGAATATTTCTTCAACGAAAGTTGACATATGGAAGAGAATCGAGTTATTAAGCCCAGGTTCTGCACGTCAAGCTATACCTAAATAAATTGGTACATCGGTCGCTCAGCTGCTCAGAAAAATTCTCAAAATTTTACAGAAACAGCAAGTTCCTTGCCATGCTCACAGGAGCCCGCTCCTGGTATCTATCCTGAGGCATATTAAAACAATTCACACCACCACATCCTTTCTTTAAAATCAATTTCAATATCATCCCCTACTTTCGCTCGGGGCTCCCATGTAATTCCCCTCCTCCAGGTTTTCTTACCAAATTATGTATGTATTTATTTTCCCTCCCATGCGTGCTAAATGCCCCGTAAATCTTGCCATCCTATATTTGGTCATCCTAATAATAGTATTAAGTGAACCTTGTAAGTTAGGAAGATTCTCATTATGAAGTTGTCTTCATTTTCCTGCCATCTCCTCTCCCTCAGGCCTAAAAAGTTATCCTCAACATCCTCAGTGTGCGTGAGATTTTGTGCACTCTTTGCTGTAACCGTTCTCTGGCATGAGTTGCCGTGTAGTTTGGTAGAAAGTTATCAGCGTATAGGAAGAACCTACTGTCTACATGCCGAGCAGATTTTTGCACTCTGAAGACAGATGCAAGACATTCCTCAGAGACACCGGTAAATTTCTGTAGACCCTAGCATAACAAACTAGAGCACAACTGAACTGTGGCCTCCGTTCTCGTGACGCGGATGGAGAGTACGTTCCGCGCCCATACAAAACAGTTGCATCATCCTGGAGCCTGGACATTGGTACATTTTTCTTTATTGCTTGTGGGGTGGGACTAAGTTCCTTGTACTGCGGCCACTTCTGGCCTATTGTACCAGCCCCAGATGATAGGTGAGGGTGATTGTGGAGCAATTGGTGGAATGAAGATTGACAGGGTAAACCGAAGTACTCGGAAAAAACCTGCCCCAGCGTCATTTTTTCCACCACAAATTGCATTTGACCAGACCCGAGACCGAACCCGGGCCGCCGCGGTGGGAAGCCAGCGACTAACCGCTTGAGCTATGGCGCGGCCGACATTGGTACATACCCGGAAGATTGCGATATCGTTGACGGGTGCGCCCGTGTTGGTGGTGTGGTACTGCTCGTGCACCAGCTTGCGTAGTACCACATGGGGAACACCCAGGGCCTCGACGTCGTTTGAGCCAGCAAACACCGTGTACAGCAGCAGAGACCGCCTGCACAGGAAGAGAGTGAGCTCTGGTTGCCTAGCAACAGTCTTTACACTGTGTCAACAAGTAACAAAGTGTTTGGAAAGAGAGGATCTATATTAATGCGTGTGCATACTTACTGCGCACAGTGGGCCGCGGTGAGGACGTACTGTCTGCTGAGGATGGAGGCGCCACAGTAGTGTGAGCCCGCAACCCGTACAGACACCTACGCGGGACAGACAAATCCGATTATGCAAGTGTGCACCTACATTACAAGGACAAGTCAGAGCTGCGATACTGTACATAACGGTTAAGGGCTGTTCGCCTTTCTTGCGGCCTGTCACAGAATCACAAAATATTTTCGGCTTTTCTAGACTCTTTTGCCCTTAAGGCCGTAACTGTAGAATTTCTGAATTATAGAGCTAACTAACTAACTTCGTGGTTTTAGTCCGCAAGCGAACTATACCGACCCAGCGACCGCCGCTTGTCAGAGAAGTTAGTGCCAACTTTGGCGGATAGAGGGTGTCGCGTGGTCAGCGCAACGAAGTGCAACAAGTGAAACAGAAGGCCGGATGGGCATAGTCTAGGCCTTTCTACAATAAAAAATTCTCACGGCCATTAATTTCGGTTTTCTAGACCAGGGCCGCTATTTCCTTAAAATAGCTCCTCAATTATCCTTACGAGGCTGAGTGGACCCCTTTCCAGACTCACTACTTCACAGAAAATCTGATAGCGCTATGAATCGAACCAGGATCTCTGGATCTGTAGCCAGGAACTCTGACCTCTAGACCACAGAGGCGGTCTTGAAATTATAGAAGCACAGATTTTTATTTAGCAGCACCCGGGAGAGACTGTAGGAAGAACAAGACAGTAACTTAAGAAGGTACTTTTATGTAGCCATCACAACGTTGCTCACCAAGTCTCCAATATTGCTGAGTTGGATATGCGGACATACTCATACAGTACAACTAGGAACTACAACTAGGGCAATATAGAGTGCTGATTCAGCAGTAACTTTAGGATGAATATCTTGGGGACGGAGGTCACAGGGATCACTGATAACAATTTGGGAGCAGTTGCCAGGGGAGGCTGTGCCCTATGAAAATCAGACAGATAGTTACGTAATTTGTAGCCAGAAGACCAGCTCAGCCGAGAATCGTGGTCCTTCGTGATCCTTCATTACCTTCATTACCATCCAAATTAAGTGGAACCGTGAATTGTAGCTCAGAAATTGCAGTATAGTGTTATACTCCTTATCCACTGAGGCCAGTGTAGTGACCATTTGGCAACCTTGCATCGATGTGTATACAGTGAAAATTTTTCGTAATCAATCCATTCCCTACTTCCGAATGAATTTGCCTGAACTTCCGTCACTGTGCTAGCAGCTACCGAAAATTTTAGACTAACGTCCATCCCTTTTAATGCTGTTACCCATAGCGGAAGATAGACACATGTGTATCAGCAAATATCGCGGCTTTAGCAGGAAGGAGCTCAACCGGAAAAAGAACATATGTATATCAATGTACATGCGGTGTAATGGGATGGACAGCCCAGTCGCCAAACGTCGCTTTCCAGAAGACAAA